AATAAAGTAAGTAAGTAAGTAAGCGGTTGGGTCTGCTCCCTCCATTGGTTTCATGTTTTTCCCCTGCAGGCTTTCCACGCTGCCTCAGCCTTGTAGACCTCTCCTGTAATCAGAGCCCGCATCCGCCAGCAGTGATGCTACATCTGAAGGGGAAGGGAATCACAAACTTCCCAAGGAAAACCTTTTCTAGCATATTTTCTGCTTGCCATGTGTTTACAGGGAAACATCCTCAGGGCAGAAGCCTTCTGTGTCAAGGGTTATATTCCATCGGTACCTATCAGATAATAAAGCTGGTTTTAATTAAAACAGGCTGAGCAGGGACTGGTGCCATATAACTGCAGTGGGTTCCGTGCCCAGGTGAGTGGGAAGTGAGACTGGCAGTCTGGAGGCCTACTGAAGATCTCAGGGGTCAAACACAGGGTTTAGCTAGCTGATACTGGATATTGACACTGTAAATGGCAGATCTGTGCTCATCTATAACCCGGCAGATAGAAATTGATTATTCTAGACCACAGTTCATCCCATCCAAAAGTCCTTTATACAGTCTCCAGCTGGTGCTGTAGTTGGTTAGCTGAAAGTGGTGAGATGAGTCTGACCCCAGTTCACTTCACCCCTCACAATTGCCCTTTGTCAGTATGTGAGGCTATATTTCAGTTTGGCGACCTGTGAATGAAAACTCTGTTTTGTTTAGAATTATATTCAACAACAGTACTGATTTTCCCAACATATAAACAATAATCATGTTCTTGCTAGCATAATTTACACTGATTCCCAGAACCATGCAAAACCATGTATTTTTATTAATAACCACATATAGCTTTGCTATGCAAAGACTTCAACATTTGAATGGCATAAAATTGTCCTTAAAAACAACTCTTTACTCAAGTAAAGCTCTTCCACAAAAAGCATTTCTAATGGAGCTGTACCTTTGGCACAGAACACTAGATATGTATCCCTGCAGAACACATGGATGAAACATGCCCCAGTATCTCACCGAAACTTTTGTGCTGTAAAGTCTGCCAGGTTAGGAAGTGGATTTACACATTTAAAAGCTACCCAGCTACTCTCTGGCACAAATCAATGTGATAGAGCTCCCTGATGAAACAAAAGCTTCATACAGTACTGCATTATTGTATATTGACCCTGAGTGTCTGCAGGGTCTGTCCATTTAACTAGCGTACTACTTTCAAAATGGGTTTTGGTGTGTTCCATCACACTGCATTTCTGCTTTTGGAATCCTGATGGATTGTCTGAATTGTTTTTTATAAGGATGCTGAAATCATTTTAGTTACTGAAACAAGTGGCAGGAAACACGGGCACCTCAGGACCAGCCACCCTAGCAGGACACTCACTCACTATTCGGGTCACGGGTTCTGGGGAAATACAGCAACCTTGGCTTTGAAGGGCAAATGGAAAGGTCAATTCTTCTGATGGTTTAGCTGGTAAATGCCCTTGCCCTGCAGCACTGCTTGTTAAAAAGGCATAGTGCTTCTTCAGGAATAGGAGTGGCTGGTGACCTCGATATTTAACTAACAATTAAATACGAGCATTGCAACACAAGACAAAAACATCCATTTTTACAGACGATTTTGGGAAGAGGGTTGTACAGGCAACCATTCAGGACATTCAGGTTGCCCTTGGAAAAATCTCTGCAGCTGGGAAGAAGGTCCCATGCCACTCTGGGAGTTGCCCGCCAGAGCTGAAACTGCAGGAGGAAGCCACAGAGAAAAGATGGGAAGATTAGGAAAAGAGAGTGATGTGGGGAAGTTGAAAGGAGCTGGGAGAGACCTGGAGGAGGAAACAGCTGGAAAATCTGCTTTATTTATCCAGTGGACAAACAAGGCAGCTCCTCCATCAATAACAATTACCCACCTTGGGCACTCTGGCCCCAGATTGACAAAGGGTTTAGGTGTGGTGACAGCAATTCCTACACCTCCCTTCCTGGTGCCTGGCTCCAGCGGTGAAATGCCCAAACCCCAGCTACTCACCTACACCTCCAATATGAGTGGCCATAACTGCTGGGTAATTGTAAGTAACACCTAAAACGGCCAATAAGAAAAGCTCAGAGATGGGTCCCCTGCCTCCTCAAGGTGGATTTTTAACCCCACTGGTATGTGGGCAGAAAAAATAGGATTGTTCTTTGCTTTTCCTTTCACAATGTCACGCCAAGGTCCAGTGCATCAACCAAGGGGACCAGGACACTCACCAAACACAAGGAAAACCTGGAAATGCCATCTTCAGGATAACACAGATCAAGCCAATACCTTCTGCCAAAGCACCCACCTTGACTGGAGGCGGGGAAATATTCCTGACCTTGTCTGGACATCAAATCAGTGGGCAGTGAAGAATATTAGGTTCATGAAACAGAAAAGACAGGGCACCATGACCACCTAGACCAGTAAAGAGGATATTCTCCTGATAAGTTGTGAAGAAGAGGGATCCTCAGGTAACCTTTCTCCACCACCATTTGTATATGTTCTCCAGAGAACAGCAGCCTGTAAAGCCTTGCTAGTCCAAGGACTATACTGGTAACCAACAAAAATGCTAAGTATCCACAGAAGAATATTACTGAAGCACCTGGGAGCGTAAAACATTCAATAACCAACAGTAGAATACGATCCACTGCTAATGGGTGAGGGGTTTCCCCTCCAGACAAACCACCTTGCCAAGAGTAACCAGACACATGGGGATCTCACCATGCTACAGCACCCAGTGGAATTGTTACTCACAGCATGTGGAGAGACAGAAAAGTCTGTTTAGCAAACCTGCTTTCCCTTGCAAACTCTGTGTTGAGGTCCTGTAATTTATAGTCTCCAGTGCTTTTGAAAGCACAGTTTCTCAGTGCTTGGAGAGAAAGCACATGTGAGGTAGGAGACCTGGTTTCTACACCATGGGCTCAGAGTTTTTGCTTGGAAAATTTGCCTCAGTTTTCCTATCTGGAAAACTGAAGTATTACCAGGTCTTTGAGGTCTGCCCATAAACAGTGCCTCTGGAACCTGTAACAACAAAAGTATGAAGAGATGCTCTAATAACAGAGATGGTAAACAGCATTATCATAGATTGAATGATACAATGCACTGTAATATTTAAAACATAAAGAACAAAAATCTGTTCCGTTTGTATATTACATCTCAGATTAATAATCTGAGCAGCAAATGAAATGTATTCAGGTCTGCTTGCAGACACCACAGAAGAGAAACACAAGGCAGAAACACAAGGCAAAGAGCCTGCAGGCTTTTATATAGCACATTTCACTTAATGATCTAGAAGGGTTTATTACTAAAACTCTCTCAGCCCTCCTGTGGGCTAAGAACACTATGCTGTGTCTTTTTAATTGCTGGATAATATGGACTGCATCAAGAAAAAGGAGCTGAAGGTCAAAGAGGCTGAATGTCAAAGCTACACAATCTATCCCTACTCTTCCCCTTTCAGAACTCTTGTCTGAGCAGAAAGCAGACAGGGATGCACTATGAATCCGATGCCATGTCAAAGCAGTTATCATGAAGAGTAACTACCAGTTGTGCAGCACAGCTTGTGACCAAGATAGACAGGATCTGTTCCCTGAGAGCATCAAGAGCTGATGTCCCAAGGACTGCACATCCAACAGCAACCTTCACACGTACAGGCATGAGGGGTGAGCTCAGACAGATGTTTTCACACATGCATAACTAGAGAAAGGATGCTTTTCTATAGACAAAGCCAGGATCTTGGGTCCTGCCTTCTGCTGATTTTGCTGCTTCCTAAAATATGAGCGGGACAAGCCCCACACTGTGTCTGCCTTTCAGAGGCAAATCTCTTTATGAAAAACACTCCAAGATCTTCAGTGAAGTCATGGCCACATCATGCCATTAAACTCTATACACTCATGGAACAGCTGTTTTCTAGTCCTCAGAGAGAAAGATGCTCTCTTCTGAGCTATGAGAAGCATTCCTGAAATATCAGGAGTGCTCTTTGGAGCAATTGTTTTCAGTTTTTGGCCACTGGCCCCTTGGCATCCACAGCATACCTTTAATGAGTCCATTATAGCTAAGAAAACCAACCTCTTTATCAATAGGTTTCAAATTGCCATCAAAGCTAAACAGCCCCCCCCAAGTACTTTCAGAGCTCACAAATCAAGAAAGCTTCAAAATCACTGCTTCAGAGTTTCACACCATAATTCCCATTCAACACCCCCCTCTTTCAGGTAACAAGATATGACAGGACCATGACCTAAGGCAGTATGGCTGCAGGCATAAAAAGTCTTCTCACTCAAGTTATTCATCAGATGAATAACCTGCATGAGTCTTAGGTCGTAGTGAGCCTCTCAGGGCTCAAAGATGCAGCTGCAGAGTTGGAAGTTCAATTCCGTGTCTCCCCTTGGGAAACATTTTTCCATAAGGTTAAACAACAGTGGCTACTGAATCAAGAGCGTGAACATCTTTGTTGTATCACCCTTTATACAGTTTCAGAGCACTGTTACACAGAAAAAAAAGTGTAAAGATCTACAGTTGGAGAGGGACTTTTCATCAGGGACTGTAGTGATAGCACAAGGAGTAATGGGTTCAAACTTAAGTGCCCTTGGTGAGGGAAAGGCCACAGTGGTACCTTTTGACTGCACCATCAAAGGCCAGTATCAGACAACCCTCGGACCACCCTTTAGACACAAAACCCAAGGACACCAGGCTTCGTTGACTCCATTGCTTGCAGCATGATTTGCTGCTCTCCCTGCAGTGTTGCTGTGCCTTCATTGCACTTGGGACCTGGGCCGTCCTCATTAGGTGAGAACAGGTTGGTTCTCCTCTGTTCCCTCATCTTGCCTGCAGTACAGGCTCAGGAGACTCCTGCCCCGCTTTGCCACTGACCTGTTAAGCCACTTTCCCTCTCAGCACCTTTGTTTCCTCATCTTTGAAATTAGGATTATGACCTCTATGAGACACTTTGATGTTCACAGATGAAGTGTGCTGTGGCACATATGAGCATTCTCTCTGTTTTAAATACTAGGTAATATATCATTGTGGGTGTTTTCCGTTTGTTTATTCTCCTTTATTTTCACCTTTATTATTACAAATGGAAATCAATGAATCACCCTGGAAAAACAAAAAGCTTTTTGGATCAGGTTTTTCGTTTGAGGCTAATAATGGGAGAGAAATCAATTCTGAAACAATGGATGGCAAAGTGCAATGTTTAGAAACTGTAGGGCAGAATGTATTTGTCTACCACACAGTTCACTGCTGCAGTATTCCTGTTCTCTTCCATTTTCTGTTATGTGTAAAACTCGCTTCCAAAATAAATTATTTAGCTCTGAAATGCTGTAATGCACAACAGATACCTGTCAGAGTTAAGTGTCACTGATGGAGGATCCAGATGGGAAGATGAGTTCAGACTGCAACAAGTCCTGGGTGAGAATACAGAACCTGAAACTGATGTGCATACAGAGCAGTTTCCATCTCTTCTCAGGAATGGCCTCATTCCCTGCCTGGGCAGATGTGCCAACTGAAGCTGGGGTGTTCCAAAGGCATTATTGGAGGATGAAATGCAGTTGTCAGTCTTACGCAGCATCTGCAGCTGTTTGGTACTCTGTCAGATCCTGACTCTGCTCTTAATGCACCAAACCAGCACACCACATTGCACCAAACAGTGATGCCCAGCAAATCTGCACTTTGTGCACAAACCATTGAGTGCAGAATTTGCTCTGCTAGGGCTGGCAATTAAAAGATAAAGATGTGATTCCCATGCTCCTTGCTTCATTGGCCAAAAGCACTATGAAAAAAAGAAATATTAATGCAGGTCTTTTAACTAGCAGATGAAGAATGTATTCTTGTGGAGCTTCTCAAAATAGCAAACAGCCCCAACCCTGTCCTGCATCAGGAAGCCTCTTCTGGATGGAGAAGTGTCATGGTCTGTTTGGATACCTTACATTTACAGGACAACATATTCTACACCTATATTCTATGAGATCATAAGGAAAAAAAAACAAAATCAAGAGGAAACCAAGGACACAATCCCCTTGATACAGACTGGTAAAACACGTCAATACGCTAATTCACTACTTAATTAATAAGGTTTAAAATCATGAGTTCTCTAATTCATTACTGGCAGTCCGTAACTCCTACCTTGTAACTTGAGCATGCATGAGCAAAACAGCTCCTGAGCTGACAGTGAGAGTGCTCTTCCTTGCTCCAGCGTCACAGTGTGTGTATTCCCTGTAGCACGCTGGGACGCATGAAAGCCTCAGCGCTCTGGCTGCTGTTGGAGCTTACTTTTTGGGTGAGGAGATTAGCCACAGCCAACTTCTCGGCCACCCTGAGGGAACAAGAGCACAAGGTTCATCAAGTACGTGTTGTTCTCAGCTGTCCCCACACTTGCCCAAGGCAGGAAAGCCAATGGCCATGCTGCACAGCTTTCCAGGGGCTCTCAGCCATTGGTCAAGGCTCCTGCTCAACAGGCAGGCTGCTGCCCATGCTTATGCTTTCAGCCCTTCCACCTTCTCCTGGTGGTCTGCTGCTTGGATGCCATCCAGTCCTTGTAGAGCCTGTTCATGGGGAGCATGAAGGGGATACTTTGGAGGAAGTCCTGTGAGGCCACGGCTTCCATGTGAGCCTTTGCACTCTCCAGGCAGGTAGCCAGCGGCTCCTCCATGGAGATGCAGGTCAGAAGTGGTCGCCTTCAAGATGACATGCAGCAGCATGGCAGGTTGGCTTTCCAGGTCAATGGCTGCACCCTAGTCCAGGGCCTCCTTGGGAAGGGCAAACCTGTCCACAGCAGCTCCCCATGCACTGTACTGCCAGCAGCTAGGCAGAATATCCCCTCCACTGACAGCCCTTCCTGCTGTAGGACAGCCAGCAGCTCCTGCAGAAGAGGTACGGGGACACTTGCTTGTCTGAGGATCTGCCTTCCAACAGTGCCGGCAGGAGCACTGCCCCACACCTGGCTCCTTGCTGGGGGCAAAGAGTCCAATCCCCTGTCTTCAGAGCTCCCGGGGACAGGCACCCATCATCTCCCCAGAGCACACAGACCGTGGCCAGCCTCCCTTGGGCTCCCCAACCAGCATCAGTGAGCACAGATCAACCGCTGGCAGGAGGCTGCCCTTCTTGCCAAAACTCACCTGGTGAGCAGCAGTCCCCCTTTGTGGCCAGGTGGGACCACTGGAGGGCTTTGCTTGCTATCAGTCTACAAGAACCAGGCTGTGCTTGGAGAGTACCCCTACAGAAGAAAAGGCCACCTGAGCTGCAGTCACTCTCACTTTTGCCTGGCCCCCCAGCAGACTCTTAAGGCTCCTGGAGCTGAATGTCCTCCTCTGGGCAAGAAAAGGGGGAAGAAGGTGAGCAGCAATGCTTCTGCTACTCAGCTGCAGGACCAGTGCTTAGGGACACAGCCCAGGCCAGAGAGAAACTCATGGCATGGCAGCAGCTCAGCAACTTCTCCAGGACTTGAAGTGATGGGAGACTGCTCTCCTGAGCTCTGTTGGCTCCTTCTGGTGCCCTGTGCACCAGTAAGGGACAGGGAGAGAGCTGGCTGAGCCCCACGCTGCCTCTTCTCTCTCGTCAGGCAGCTCTGCCCAAGCTGGGGACCTGAGCTGCGTTCCCTAGAGCGCTGGGCTCAGAGGCTCCTACTGCAACTTGGCAATGACCAGCGCCTCCTGGAGGAGAAGGCATCTTTTGCTCCTCTTGTGGCCCTGGGTCAGCTGCACGTCCATTCTTAGCACCAGGGCAGTGCTGCTCGGCCAGACCCTGCTTCCTCCTGGCACTGCTCCATGACAGCACAGCTCCATCCTGCCATCACAGGTGGCTGTTGGCTCCAATTGACCAACATTCCAACCCCAGCAGAAAATGTAAGTGGCCCTGGGAGGGCTACGGCCTAGGGGTTCTCTCCAGCACGGCTGTGTTGCCCTTGCTCTACAGAGCTCAGAGCAGGATATAGCCCAGGGGAAGAACCACCTCCCTCCACCTGCTGGCAATGCCCCTTGCCTTGGGCTTCACCACTCATTCCTGGCTTCTAGCTAGACTTGGTGTCACTGGTCACTCTGCTCTGGACTCAGACGCTCAACCACTTTTCTGTCCACTGCACTGCTCATCAGCCCATGTGGTGCTTGTTTTCTTCCAGTCCTCAGGCACATCTCCCTATTGAAGTGGCCTCACAAGGCCATCTGCCAGTTCCCTCAGCACCCCATCAGGGGGACCGGTGCATCTCCACTTTACTTAACTGTTCTCGAATCTCATCCTCTGCCACCTGATCCTTACAGATCCCCTTGCACTAAGGGTACATACACCTTTTTTGTTCCAGCTCTCTGCCCAGGTCTCTGGGGCCTGGGATGTCTGAAGGCTTGTCTTGCTAGCTCCAGCAGGACTGGCTGAACCTAGACTAGCCTGAAGTGCTGCTGTGGCTTAGTGATGGTCAAGAGAGTTTTAAGAGGGAGAAAAATAATTCCTAAAAATGAGATCAGTTCTTGTAGCAGTGGGGAACTGTGGTTGGAACTAGATGAGTTTATGGTCCTTTCCAACCCTAACTATTCTATGATTCTGTGATCACAACAGCTTTCACTGCCTTGTCCTGTGTTTGGTCCTGCATTACAGTGCTCAACAGCAATGGTCTTCACTTCTCTGTCAGCAGTACTTTATGCAGAAGCAGTGGCTGGGGTTTCCAATCAGCAGTAATGCAGTGTTGCCACCTGCTTAGCACAGAGATGTGTTGGCCAGGGGTGTGTGTGGCTTTCCCTGGATCACGCATGCTTGTGCCTTGAGCATTCATAGTCAGACCAACCTTATGTCTGTAGGTCTCCCTGGACCACTGAGATGAGGATTACAAATGCATCTTTCCTTTTTCCAAAATGGAAAGGCCACCTTGTTAGAGGAGAGGGAGAAAGAGGAAAAAGAGCAGTCAGTAATAATCTGAAATGTATGTAGAAAAGAGACTTCCTGACATGGCGATACTTATGGGTAAAAGCCCTTTAGGAGCTGTTTTCCACATCCACTTGTAGATGTGATGCAGGTATGATGCATCATGGACGTAAATTTCCATCTTTAAAATCATGAGGTTTGACTGAAAATCAGGAGTTTTTTACATATGTGTATTCAACTGTCTTTTTCACTTGCTGTTAGACTTCAGATGTTAGGAAAGTTGCCAAATTCTCAAATTTCTATCAACTGCCTCTTAAAAAATAAAAATACACCTGAATAAAACAAAATAAAATCCATGTACTTGTGATATGACACAGACCTCAAAGCTGAAACTGAAAGATGAAAGAACCAACATTATGAGATTCATGATACATTGTTGAGATATGATAATACCAAAGAAGTCCAAATAAGATACAGCAGGAAAGACCAGCCTCTATGCATTTGGACATGGAATCTCTGTAGAAAGCACTGGAAGAGTTGAAAGATCCTGACAGCAAACAGCCTTCAACCAGCAGGTACTGCCTTATCTGACATGCCTTTATGTACATGCCCTTGGTTCCTAGCGCTGATTCCAGTAAACAACCTGCAAGACAAGTACTTCTGATACGCATGTGCTGTGCACTGGACAATGCAGCAGCTCTGTGTGCAACCAAATAACTCCCTCACCAGGATCATCTCCTTAAACACCAGTTCAGACAATCTGTGTTACTGAGAGGCCCAGAAAACTGACTTCTCCACTAGATTCATACACAGCCAGAGCTTGACACTTTAAGGGTAAGACTCAGACAAGATTAACTCAGGGAGCAACAAGAAGCAAAGAAGCCACATGAAATAAACGTCAAAAGGGGAGTGCTGCTCCTGGTCCTGGATTCCCTTCTCCATCTACAACGTTGGTGACAGCACTAGCCTCTGAAAGCATACAAGTGTGCTGAACACTCTCCCCACACTGTCTGTACGAGTAACTGTCATCTGTCTTTCCCACAGGTGAGTGTGGAGGCAGGTTTATGAACATTTCCACAGGCACATGGCACCTCACACTTCAGACTCCGTATGCAACATAAAGGGAATCTGTTCTTGGGACACTCCGAAACCACGTGGCAAGACAGCAAGCACATCTGCTCTGCTGTGCAGCCCCTTGCAACATGTCCTCTGCCAAGCCCCACCTGGGGCATCCACCCAGGGCAAATTTATGCAAGGTTGGGTTTGGTCTCCTGGGTCTCTGCCTGAGGACTTGCAGCAGCAATACAAACGTCAAAAAAACCCACCTATCCCAAATAGTTGTTTAGCAGGAGCGCAGTTTTACTGCTGTAATTCCGAAAAGGAGGAATTCCTCCAAACTGTCATACCCTTGGCTCCAACCACTGCATCAAACTTATTCCCAGACTTTCTCCTTTACTGTATTAGTCAGCTTTTTCCGACTCTCACAAAACCCAGGACTTTGGTGCCTTGCCACCCAGAAACCAAAGGAAGCTTCCACGAAACCAGCAAACACCTCCCATCTTCTCCCCAATGTCATTAGAAAAGAAAAACAAACCAGAGAGGTTGTACAAGTCAGCCTATAAACCCAGGTGTGAGGAGGATAGTGTCAGTGGTAATGGGGCAAGAAAGGCAGGGTAATTATACCACACCAAAATTGCGATCGTGCTGCATTCCTTTCTGGTGAAGGCCAGCTAAGAATTAGATACACCTTTTAAAATCATCAAAGGGAGTGGCTGCAAGATACAAGGTGATGGGATTAAGATGAAGGTCTGGGTTTGCCAGTTCTCAGCAATGGCTTTGCTGGCTGGGCTGGGCACGTCATTAACTGCTCCCATATGGTGTTCACATCGTGCCACTTCTTATTAATCTTGATACCATTCTCAGTATTTCCAGAGTCCCAGTCTCCCACTGAGCAAAATCTGTATAAACCCAGGAATGGAAGGACAATACCTACCCACAAGGTTAGTTGTACTTGGTCAATGGACAGTGGGATTGAGTACACCCTCAGCAAGTTTACCAATGACACCAGGCTGTGTGGTTCGGTTGATACACTGGAAGGAAGGGATGCCATCCAGAGGGACCTTGACATGCTTGTGAGGTGGGTTGATGCCAACCTTATGAAGTTTGCATGCCAAATGCAAGGTCCTACACCTGGGTTGGAGCAGTCCCTTCATTAGGGACTGTAGTGATAGGACAAGGGGTAATGGGTTCAAACTTAAACAGGGGAAGTTTAGATTGAATATAAGGAAGAAGTTCTTTACTGTGAGGGTGGTGAGGCACTGGAATGGGTTGCCCAGGGAAGTTGTGAATGCTCCATCCTTGGCAGTGTTCAAGGCCAGGTTGGACAGAGCCTTGGATGACATGGTTTAGTGTGAGGTGTCCCTGCCCATGGCAGGGGGGTTGGAACTTGATGATCTTAAGGTCCTTTCCAACCCTAACTATTCTATGATTCTATGAATCAGTCAAGTTCAGTAACTTGTACCTCAGCATTATTTCAGTGGAGCTTACAAATACTTATCATAGAATCATAGAACAGTTTGGGTTCGAAAGGACGTTAAGGCTCATCCAGTTCCAACCCCCTGCCACAGGCAGGGACACCTTCCACTAGAGCAGGTTGCTCCAAGCCCCATCCAACCTAGCCTTGAACACTGCCAGGGATGGGGCAGCCACAGATTCTCTGGCAGTAGCCCCAGCTACTACCACAAGGTCTGCAAGCTCAGGTCCTTAAGCACAAAACTCCAAGGGCTCCTCTGTCGAGAAGGCTGGTACAAATACCAAACGGAGCCTTTTTGTGCAGATGATTTAACAAGGACTGCATGGGTGAGGGAACAGAGTTGTCTCAGACCTCTCCCATTTTCAGAAGAACAAGTGCAGGAGCTTAGATGGCTGCACACACCCTACAGCCCTTTGCAGAAAGGAACCTGCTGGGAAGATGGGTCTCGAGGAAGCTGCTCTGTGGGTTGGAGGCACAGTGCTGCCCAGAAACACAACCTTGCTCCACAGACCACTGGGCAGTGAAGAGTCCTTTTCTGCTGGAGAACACCTCCCTAGGAGAAACCAGAGAGAGGAGCAGCCATCACACAGGCAGGACAGCACCACACAGAGGCAAAGCTCCTGCTCTGCTGCCTCACCTTGTTCGTGGTACAAATGGGATTTTTCAACATCCTCTTGGGCTTTTATGGGGCAGGAGGAGAACTTGGCATAAAAACAGAAAGGCGCAGACCACCAGTGCCTTAAAACCATGGGAATGTCCTCCCTATTGTAACTTCATATTGCAGGTTGATCAAGTCAATCTTTCTAAAGCCAACAAAACAAACACTGCATTTGTGCTACTTTTCAGAAAACATGCCAAAAAAGACAAACACGAGGCAAAGCAGCGAGCCAAAAATGGCCAAGTCTTGCTCCCCAATTACTGTGAAATTAAAAACTTCAATTAAAACCAGCCACAAAACACAGACATAACGATGACCTCTCTCCTCACAAGAATTCGTGCTTTGGCACAAACAACTGGCTGGCCTAATTTTATGTCCAATAAATTTAATCTTACACAATAAAGCGTACAGCAGAGGGAAAGACGAGGTGTTCTGAAAGGAGCTCTCTGGGCATCATGTAACGCTTTACCACTAAATAAAAAGCTTAGGGCAATTTCTGTTCTCTTAGGCCAACACTAAGCATAATTCAGCTGGCATCAACATTGGTGAAGTGAGCAAAAGGGAGCGGACAGAACCATCAACTCCAGTTCATCTCTGTGGTGAACTCATGAACAGACTCAACTCACCACTCAAAACCCAACTGTTCCAATGTGAGGCGAGATGGGTTTGTGTTACTGCACTGTTTACAAATGCAGTTTCCTGGCAGTGTTTGAGGAAGGTGCTTTCGCCATGTGGTGACTGCTGATACCCAATATTCTGGCATGAAGGAAACAGCCCAATGGCTTTCCCATGCTGAGACCTGGGTGACAGGGATGCCAACTGTGCTGGTACAACCGAAGCAGCCACGACTTCAGTACGTGACTTCCGGCAGAGCTGTATGCACAAACAGAAGCCTCTATGAGCCATCTCTACCTGGGCATCCAGAGATGAAAACAACGCCAAATTAGTGGGCACTGCTGAAAAAGTAACCAAGCATGTGAACACTTGCACAATCTGTATTTACTCTTGATTTCTCAAATGGCATCACCTACTGATTGCAAGCATTTCCCAACTGACACACACCATCATACTGAAACCCTAAATATTGCAGTGACTTAGCTTCCTCCACTGCACTTTACCCAATTTAATTAATCCTCACAGCGCCTCAGAGGAGGAAGGACAGCGCCATTCACCAACCCAGCCCAACGCACAGTAAGAGGCTCGAAAAGCCAAGCACCCCACTCGAGGTCCCGCAGAAAGCAGGCCAAGTCACTGTCACGGTACTAAAGAGATGTCCATGCCACCAAACCCAGCGGTGAGGAAGAAAGCCTTCCTCAGTTTCAAACCCCCCCGACCCTAAACTCATCATCAACAGGATCATCACAGCATGCTTGCCAGGACAAGCCACTCCTGGTGTGGTGAAGGCGAGGGATTCCTGGCATTGCACAGCAGCCGCGAGCAGGGCTTGTGGCCTCGGTTGGAGCTGCCCAGCAGAGCGGGACACCCACAGACAGCGCCACGTTGCATAACTACGGACACCGCATGTAAATAAGGAGCTCCCGCTCTGTAACAAGGCATTGACAGCCGCCCGACTTATGCAATTACTGTGGCTCATTACAAGGCTGGCGGGGAGGGTTTCAAAGGAGCTGCTGCCTCGCTTGGCCAAGTGGCTGCCACTGCTCCAGCATCCACCCGCTGTGACCGGCCATGCCACCCTCCAGCAGGACATGTGTCCCCACCAAAGACCCCCCGAGGGTCCACACCAGGAAGCACAGTGATGGAGCTACCTCTCCACTTCTGGAGAAGCTAGTTAGAATCATAGAATGGTTTGGGTTCAACGGACCTTAAAGCTCATCCAGTTCCAACCCCCTGCCACAGGCAGGGACACCTTCCACTAAAGCAGGTTGCTCCAAGCCCCGTCCGACCTGGCCTTGAACACTGCCAGGGATGGGGCATTCACCTCGTTAGTTAACCCTCGGCCCCTTGGCCGGGGAGCCCCTGCTCAGAAATAAAGGCTCACCCTGAAACAAGGGGCGCGGGACTCTTGTGGCCCCTCTGCAAACACTCACCGCCCGCAGACCCGCGGGAGGGGTCCCCGGGCCCTGCTAGGCCCTACACCGGGCCCACCACCAACCCCCTCAGGACCGCTCCGTGCCGTGCCCCGCGGCCCTTCCAACCGGGCCCCGCCGCAGGGCAGGCTGCGGAGCTCAGGAAGCGGCCGCAACCCCCGCCCTGCCCGGGTAGGCTCGGCTCCCCCCGGGCCAGGGGCTGGGCTCCCCGCCGGGCGAGGCAGAGCCGGCCACCTCCCCTCCTCCTTCTCCTCCTCCTCCTCGCTTTCCTCCTCCTCCCCCTCCTCCTCGCCTTCCTACTTCTGCACCGGCCGCGCTCCGGCTCCGCCGCTGCCCCTCAGCCGCCGCGGGTGCCGCACCACCGCCTCCCTCCCCGTCCTCCTTCCCTCCCTCCCCCCGCCCCCGCCGGTCCCCCTCCGCCCCGGCCCCGGCGCCGCCGCTTCCACAAGATGGCGGGGACCGTGGCCGAGCGGGACGCGCTGGTGAGTGCCGCTGTGCCCCTCCGCGGGGCTCCGGGACGGGGCTGGGGGGGATCGGGAAGAACCGGGTAGGGCAGCGCAGGGCCCCCTCGGTGGGCACCGGCGGGGCGGCGGCGGCGGCGGCAGCGGGAAGGGCTCCGCACGTCCCTGGCTCAGCGCTCTCCTTTTTACCTGCAGAAAATAGAGGACGGGCATTTAAACAACTCGCTGGGATCCCCGGTGCAAGCTGATGTGTACTTCCCACGCCTGGTAAAGCACCTTTATTTGGGGAGTTATATGGGATTTTGTGTGGGTTTGAACCCCTTTACTCCCACCCCGCGGCCGCTGCTGCTGCCGAGTTGACCCTTCCCGCTGTCCTTTCCAGATCGTCCCCTTCTGTGGGCACATCAAAGGAGGAATGAGGCCGGGAAAGAAGATCTTAGTTATGGGCATAGTGGATCTCAACCCCGAGAGGTAACACCCGGGCAGGGCTGCTGGGCCCGGGGAGGGGACGAGGCGGGGGGGAGCCCACACGCAGGCACACAAATACAGACACATACACACGGATCCCTCCTTTCTGGAAAGGGATTATTTTTATCATTTTAAATATAGCTTGCTGATTTCTCCTTTGACCCATAGAGGGGGCATTTCTTTAAGGGATCCCGTTTCCTTACATTTCACTTGGGAGTAAAGGAGCATACAGAGCATATATAAGTGCATATATACACACATGTATGCACAGCACACATGCACACACATATATGTGTGCTATAACCATGTTCTTGTCCCTGCTGAGCTTTGGAGCACTCCCTGAATGAGCGGCTGCCCCATCCTGTGCCGCTATCCTGGTTTTAATAAGCTGAGAAATGAGACTGGCGGCATTTCGGGCTTCTTTCCTTGCTTCTGGCTGAATGAGAGCTGATCTGTTTGTGTTGCAGCTTTGGCATCAGTCTGACTTGTGGGGAGTCGGAAGATCCTCCTGCAGATGTAGCCATTGAACTGAAAGCTGTGTTTACAGACAGGCAGTTTGTCAGAAACTCTTGTGTAGCCGGAGAATGGGGAGAGGAGCAATCGTCTATTCCTTACTTTCCTTTTATACCGGACCAGCCTTTTAGGGTGAGTACAGGATGACAGCGGCATGCACCGTATCTGATAAAGTGCAATTTGATCAGTCTTGCAGCAGAACCTGACTTGCCTCTGGTGAAATCACAGTGTAGCTCGCACCTGTGGTTGAGACACCAGTCGCAGGGTTGTTTGTATCGACCAGAAGTTATGTGGAGATTCTGCTGCTGCGTGCCGCTGCAGGCGGTTCATATGGGGCTATGAACACCTCACCAGGGTGCTATGACAAGTCGCGGGTTGTAATTGTTTGTGATGGAGTGCACTTCCTCAGCTTAGTTTTATAGCTGTAAATTAAGAAGTCCCTCTATATTATTAATGCATTACAAGTTATTAGTGGAGAATGTAAATACTCTCTGAGAGTGCTGTATGTTTTGATGGTTCTCTTAATGGACAGCGTTTGCAGTTTAGTGCGGCTAGTAAGGAGCTTGTTCATCCTTTGTCTCCAGGGGCGTTACGCTGAGGTTGACCGTAGCCCTTCGTGTTAGCAGATTAAACAGCTAAGCAATAGTGGTATTCTTTTCTGAACCCTGGGATTAAATCTCCTGTCAAATTTAAGCCTGTAGCCACTTGAAAACAGTGTACATGGAAATGCTGTGGTGCTGTGGATGGACTGGGTTGACCTAGAAGCAAATTCCCATCTGTAGTGTTTATGGTTTCTTGAAGATGTCTTTGCAAATCAGGACTAACAAAGTATGCAGCTGCAGAGGGCCGCTTCTCTCTCAGCGGCTTCACTACACTGAGAAAAAAGGCTGCATGTCTTCTGCATGTGGCTGACCCAGAAAAACCCTCTTCCTCCTCCCCACCCCTCTTGCAAAACCTCACTGGCCCCTCTGCCAAATGCCAGTGCTCTGACGAGCTGCCAAACCCTTTTAATCCTTCTTGCCCCCAGGATAATCTCCCCCAGCCCCAAAAGCTAACCATCTCCCCAAGATGAGAGGGTGCTTATGACTGGTTTTGCCGCAAATTGGTTGCGCTCTACTAGCTTCTACAAACTCTCCCATTAGAACTGGCAACACCCTTTGGTGCATGTGGGAAGTACACTTGAAAGAGCTTGGAGGTTTGGTCCTGGCTCTGGCTGAGAGGGTTATGGTACCCTGCTGCAGTAGGTGGTGGCTGGGCCCTCAGACAAAGCAGACAAATTACCCAGAGCATGGGTTTTGGGTGTCCCCAAAACTAGTGACAGCTGACATTGGAGGACAGCAATACTGCACTTTGCCATGAGATACTATGGCAGGGGAGTTGTTCTTTTTTATTTCCGCCTTTTTTCCCAACTGCATAAATAGAATTTAGGCTCCCAATTGACTTTGTACCTTTGATGGTTTCCCTCTCTGTGAATAAATGAGACTAAGTGTTCTTGCCAATTACTTCTGATCTAGTCCAATTATCGTTCTGGCGTGGCCCAGGGTGATCTGGAAAAACGGATCAGAAGCAGTGTTGAGGCTAACCATATCTTTTACATAACAAGGCCTAAGGCGGGATGTGCCTGCTGCAGTGACACAGGAGACGGGTGTTTCTCTGCTACATGGTGTGCTGCCGGGTCCCCAGGAGTTTAAGCTCTCCTGCACCGTCTGCTGCCTCTTCCCCTAGTGCAACGTGCCCTAAGTCAGTCGGCCTTTGGCTCAGACAGTTTGTCACTGGCCCTGTTCTCATTTTTATACGCTATAATAGCATCAGAGTCAAGTGCCTGGAAGCAGCACTTCACTCCAGGCTACTGGCCTCTTGAAATGACCCAGGACTTACACGTGGTTTCGCTGCAGATTTTCTTCTTAACCTGTCTGGACCTGGAGGTCTCCAAGGGCCTGTAGGAGAAGTGCACGTTCTGCGCGCTCATATCCCTGCTTCCTGCTGGGGCACCTTCAGCAAAGCTTAACTACAGGGCACCCTCTCAAGCCACCCCTAACATCAGGAATCTCCCAACCTGTCCAAGCTTGTCCAGCTCCAGGCGTTGTTGCTTTTCCAGAGCATTTCTGCAGGGCTTTAGGGAGGAGGGATGAGCTGTGTCCCTCCCTGATCCTTTTTGTGTCTCATGCGAACTGTCTAGTTGAATTCAAGCCATCCATCATCACTGCAGCTCCAATATGGTCTATTCCAACAGGGAGTCCTGGGCTGACTGCAGCCACAATAGTGAAGGCTTTTTAGTTTCACAGCAGCTCTGTGAGTATGTGTTGGAGGGGAGGGCAAAGCTACCCCATTCTCGTGTTCACTCCCTTCTGGTAAATTAACATAAACATGGAAAGCATTGCAGAGGGAACTGCCCCCTCATTCCACAGCAAAAAAAAACATTCTCTAGCAAGGAATGCAAGATTTGTGTTACAGATGCAATTTCTTCCCCCCTGTAATAAGCAGTTTGAGTTTCTGGCATTATTCTAAGAGGCAAAACCTCCCTGATGCCAGTGGGGCTGGGTTCCATTTAAATTAGACATTAAGAAGAAATTCTTCACAATGAGGTGCTGAGGCCCTGGCACTGGTTGCCCAGATAAGCTGCGGCTGCCCCTTCCCTGGCAGTGTTCAAGGCCAGGTTGGACAGGGCTTGAAGCAACCTGCTCTAGTGGAAGGTGTCCCTGCCTGTGGTGGGGGCTTGGAACTGGATGAGATTTAAGGTTCCTTCCCACGCAAACCATTCTATGATTCTGATCTCCTTGTGAAGTAAGAGCAGATCTATCATAGTGTAACTGGTGTCACAGAGACAAACTGGTCTCAGCCCTGGCAGTTACATGGCACATAGTTAGCAAAAGGCGTAACTGCACCAGCACTGCTTAAAGGCTAACAGAGAGCCCTTTGTATTCTGTGAAATAGCTTCCCAGTTACACTGTGAACAACGTGCTTCATCATTTTATTTTTCACAGGTTGAGATACTTTGCGAGCATCCCCGTTTTAGAATATTTGTGGATGGACATCAGCTCTTTGATTTTTACCACCGTATTGAAACACTGTCAGCAATTGATACGATAAAGATAAATGGAGATCTTCAGCTTACGAAACTTGGCTGAGCTTGTGAGGACTGCAGATTCCAAACCGGCTCAGGTGCCATCATCCGTTTGGAGAAGTGACAGCCGGCTCTGGACACAGCTATGGTAGGAAGGCTGCCCCGTTCCTTTTCCGCATGCAGTTCTTCACTCCTGTGCCGATGAACCGGGCTGTTGTTTATCCTAATGAAGAACACTGTTGGTTAATAGACATTGAGCCGTTTTTCTTGGATCAAAATAGCCTACCTATACTGGATAATCAAATTGGAATGGATTCAGAAAGACTTGCACTCTTGTCTCAGATCTCACAGAAAGGCAATTTCTCAAGCGCAGCGCTAAAACCAGTTACTGAACAGCAGTGACAACAACAGAAAGTTTTTCTTTTGCAAATATTGTTTCTGCACTGAAGTGGAGTAGTGTAGCACAACATAGGGCCACGTGCTGACGTCCTTACCCAGGGCCTGAGCCTGGTTCCATGGAAATCAATGGCAAAACTCCCACTCACTTTAACTGGGTACAATCAAACTGTCTAGTCCTTAGTCAAGCACAATTCCCACTGATTTCTATGGGATTTTTGCACATGCCTGGGCGTCAGCTCTTCTGCTGGTCTAAACCAGCATCACCTCCATGGCTTGCATGGAGTTTTGCTGATGGCTGCCAGCAGCAGACTTGTCCCAAGGACTGTGCAAAAATGGAATGAGGGTATGAGGACACTGCCTGTGTATTTTAGTCAGGGTATTTGCATAGAATGTAGAACGTTACGAGTTTTTGCACAACGTATTGTTAATACAGTTTTTAAAGCTTATCTGTAGTTTATTTATTTATACTCATTGTATGTATTATTAGTAAAAATGAACAACCTTACTGATGGTTAAGAATCAAGCAAAAGTGTAAACATTTTGAATGTACAAAATGTCTTTTAGGTTCTTTGGGTAAACTTTACATATCATTCTTGAAAAATCCTGTTTCCTGTCGAGCATTTAGTTACATTTTAATGGAGCCCTCTAGGCCCTGGGAAAACGTGGGCATGGTAGTTGGTGGGGGTGGGGGGAACTTTTTGCATATTCACTCAAAACTGCTTTTCAGGGGTTACTAACTTTGCTGCATAGGATAGGTTTGAGTTCAAGTCAATCCTCTGAAAAAACAGCAAATTTGAAGTTGGAACCGTGCTTGTGTAACCTGAGAAAAAGTTCAGTTTGGCAGCCTCTTAGTTGAGGAAGAGAATGAGCCTCTTTCCAAGGGAGATGGGAGATTTTCTGCACTTGTTTGAGAACATATTTGGCCTTTGATATGACAATTAAAACTTGTCTAGACAGCCAAGTTATTAATGCTTGAAAATCAGCTACTGCACATGAATAATAACTTTTCAAGTAGCTTTTTAAATAGTAGGTATAGCTGTATAAACACAGTCATTGCGCTACACTATAAATGAACACAGCCACTTTTCTTGACTTCTTTAGGACTAAATACACTTTTTTCCTTGGCTGCTCACAACAGACTGTCACTGGTCTTTCTGAGTAGTTATAATCATGATAGAAACGTATATTTAGACAATTTTGAAAACATGTAATATAGGGACTTTCTAAGACACAGAATACAAAAACATCCTTTGTAGGACTGTATTTAAAGAAAAAAAGAGAGAGAGAAGAATCTCACAAAGAGAATTATGTTAAACCTGCAATAAAGCTGTGGTTTAAAGCAACTAGAACTGGAATACCCAAAGTTAAGGGTAGCATGCCAGTTGCAAAGCCTCATTTTGCGCTAATATGGCCTGCAGTTAAGAAGCCTTAGACTGCAAGCTGAAATTCCAACTGTGGCTCTAGTCCAAAGCCTGTTGAGGTCAATCAGAGTCCTCCGAGCACAGAAGCCTGATTCTTATTTCATGCAAGTGCAAATCTCTTTGCAAAACCAGGGGGGTGTTGTTGCTGCTGCAGCTAAGAATCAGGCTGCTGCCTATAAAATACAAGTTAAAAATCAAATTTTAGCCTTAACATTGACATTCCCTGACTTTTCCTTCCTTTTTCCAAATTGAAAACCTGTTGTTTTCCAGATGATCTTTTTAGCTGATGTGTGGCTTTTAAGTTGTACATCAGATCCTATTTGTACTCCAGATTGAATAAGAAATGTTCCTGTCTTGCTCTGTTTTTACTCTTTTACATGATACATGATGACTGCGTCATTTTTCCGTTGTATAAAGAATGCTGACAGTGTTTCGGTACAAGATATATTCTTAAAAATTATGATTATGATGATAATAAAAATCCAAGGGAAAGGTGCTTCTACACAAGGTGTTTGGCTTTGTCTCCAGCTTGGAAATGCTCTATGGTTCCAAAGCAGGTGCAGGCAGAAGATGAATTCTGTTTGGAGAGATATTTAACACCCTCCCTGCATAGTGTTCACTCCAACTACAGATGTAAAGCCAGGTTTGCTGATGTAGTGCCATCGCCTGGGGCTGTCCTGCTAGTCCAGTGGGCCTGAAGTAGGAGGCTGGGGAAGAGTAAGTAGCACCATGACCCTTCAGGAGCACAAAACCGAACAGGATCTGTCTCCCTGACAGCACACCAGTAGAGATATCCCCTCCATGCCTTTACTGTACCCCAGAAAACGCAATTAATTTGGCTGACTTCAGTTTTCAGCTACTTGGGATTCCTCGTAGGTAAGCACAGCCCTCAGACTTTTGCTATCCTTGCATGGGCTTGGCACAGCACAGTGCCTTCACCAGGGATGCTGAGATGAACTCAACGCACCACTGTTAGAGGTGTCTCTGTCAGGAGCAAGGGTTCAGGGATACTGCCTTGCTTCTGTTCCCACTCTCTGTGTTGGGCACTCCCATTTGTTCCTTCTCCAGTAGATTTCTGTCTAGGGAAAATGCTTTTTTGAACCCGATTCTGGTTTTGCCTTTGCATAACTCTACCACCCGCAGCACCCACCACCTGATTCTGCCCCATTGTGGTTTCTGAGCCAGGCTTCCAGGCAAGAAGAGGTTGTGGTTTGGCTGAGAGCTCAGGAAAGGGCAGAAAGTCACAGTTAAAGCTTCCATGTCTATTTGTCTGTCTAACACCAGTTTGGAAGCCTTTTCACATTTCTTTTGGGTAGTACCAGGCTATGGCAAGTGAAAGAAGGATAATGTCTGTGTAACCAAAGGCTGTTCCCTGCATGCTTGACTTATATTAGCTGATTCTGTTCAGAAGCAACTGCTGAACACTTCCATGTGCAATGTAAGCCAGAGGAAACTGAGGCCTGTTTCTGTTCAGTTGGACCTTGAGCCAAATCCAAATGTTAATTCTTCCCTGTGAGGGTGGTGATGCACTGGCACAGGGTGCCCGGAGAAGCTGTGGCTGCCCCATCCCTGGCAGTGCTTAAGGCCAGGCTGGAAGTGGTTTGGAACAACCTGATCTAGTGGAAGGTGTCCCTGCCTGTGGCAGCAGATTGGAACTGGATGAGATTTAAGGTCCCTTCCAACCCAAACCAGTCTGGGATTCAATGATCTTATGTTTAAGATGGGAGACTGTGCTGCAAAATTTACGTCTGATTTTTTTTGTCTCCACAGTTCAGGAATTATTCAGATATTGTGGCTATAAACCCTACTGGACCTGAAATAAGACCATTTCCAAATTGGGCCAGATTTGCAGTATGTTTTTCAGCAGGGACAAGTAGTCTGTGAGCTTCTTGTAAGCTGCAGTTCTTCAGGACTAAGTGTGTGAACCAACTTCTGAAATCTTATGGTAGAATTTATTAGCTGTATATCTCCATGGTTTCCTTGGAATGAGGAAAACTCATTCTGAAATGAAAAAATCCTTGAACGGCTAAAATCCATGTGGAGTGGAATCACTCAACTCAGCAAAGCTTTATTTTTTCCAAAGAGGAAAAAGTAACAACCAAAAAAACCTGACCAAATTCTTGAGCTGTGTTTGGAATGGACTGTGATAAAGCTGATTTAATAAAAAAAGGGGGGAGGGAAGTTATTGCCTACTCAGAAAGAGCCTTGAAATACTTCAGTGTCATGTGAGGTAGCCTGTGTCTAAACATACTTCACAGAAACACTTTTTCACAGGCAAGTTGTTAAAAATGTTACAAAATACCTTCTTTTGGTGTCACAATTAGAAATGGTTGCCCCACCTTGAAAGAACATTTTGTGCTAAATATTCATATGTTGTCTATGTGAACTTGCACTAACATACATTATATTCTTCCTCCCCTCCTTGACTAGCTTGAGAAGAAATAGGCGTAATATTGCTAAACCGGTTGAATGTGACATCTGCTTGAGGCATAGCATCTTTCTCAAGGGCTGTTTTGAGTAAACAGCCTGAAAACCAAAGGGAGAGCCTGATTCACCATTCTGCTGTGCCAGCTTTCCGCCCCTGTCACTCTCCTGCTGTGAGGCTGAGACTGAAGCCCTGAGATTTTAATGTGAGGGAGCAGCACTGAGATGTTTATCTTCTGGGATTTAGAAGTATTCACAGTGGAGGAAACAAGAACAGAGTAGCCACGGCACTCCCAAGCTTGGTAGTAGCATGATGTGCTGTAGTACTAAGGGAGTATGAGCTCAGAGGGAGGTAGTGGGCATTTCAGAGCCAGCCAAGAACACAGGCTGTGGAGCTGCATGACAGTTTCTCAGGGGTGGGCATTTGCCACCTTCTGCAACCCACAAGAGGACACACAGCAAAAACCAGCGTTGCTTACGAGTTTGGAAGGCATGAATGAGTTCATGTTCCTACTCGCCTTCTTTAAAAGAGGTTCTTTAAAAGTCATAGGAAAAATTAGGAGCAGCCATGCTCCTAAGGTATTTTTTTCCCCACAGCATATCTGATGTGGGGCTCATCTGGCTTCCCATCTACAAGAAGTGCTCCCCACAGAAATCTACAGCTCTGCTTTCTGCACTGAGGCTGCTTACAGTGACCTTTCCCTGCAGGTAACTGCAGAACCACAGTTGGTGGCAGCTCTAAGCAACCTCCCAGCATCCCTGGAACTGATATGAGTCTGAGGAACGAGAGTCAGGCTGAGGGCAACACTAAATGCTCAGTGTGATAAGCACAGATGTGAGAAAGAAAAGCTACACCAGCCTAGGCACAGTGAGTGACCTGGCGAGATTTTCTGCAATCGTGGGAATTGTTCTGATTTTCTCATGTGGATCAGAAAGCTTAGAGGAAAAAGTCACTGTGCCGTGAGTGGTGTGTGGGGTTAGAACCAAAGCCAACCCAAACGGGGAGAAAAAATGAGCTGCAGACGCTTTATCTGGCTTTGATACACCCTCCCAGCTCCTCCCAGCAATCACTGCTGTTATGAACATACACAATTACTACAACAAGGAGATTCAGCAGCATGTTCAAGATCAAAATAATAAACTCCTGCTTTGCCACAGGTCCTCCCTAGCTTCTGTTGCACGGCCTCTCCATCTGTCTGTCAACAAATAACTACATCCTGCTGCTTTTAAAATCCATGGCAAAAATCCCATTGACTTTCCTGGAAATAGGTCCGTAAGAAAAGGGTTATTTCGAGCTTTCCATCTCCAGTTATTTTCAGCTGGGGCATACTCTAAAACTGAGATTATTTTTAAGTATGAACAGAGGACTATTTCTGTCTGCATTATCCATTTGATAGAGTCAACAGAAAGCACAGCAGTTTCGCAGTTAGCTGGTGAAATGTCTTATATTCATCACCTTCTGATTTTAAAAAGTGGGGATGTGCACAAAATGGGCAATAACAGTAGTATGTATCACTCACCACAGATCTATTCTGATGTGTTGTGCCAATTTCATAATGAAATTTTAATAACAATAAACTGTGAAATCTTCACCAGGTTGTTCTGTCTTTTATCTGAATTATTAATGTTCGTTACACACCCTCTTGACTGCTTTAACTTCTACCTTCTTTTATCTCCTGACTGTTTCTCAGATGTAGCTCTTTCCCTCATAAAACCGTAGTGTGAAACTTCAGAATGAGATGTGGAGCTTTGGTAGCAGCTTGTGTAAAACTCCTTTACAGTTTAAATGCACTACCCAGATCAAATATCATTAGAGGAAAGAATAGCTTGCTTACTCATGCACGACTCCCGCTGACATCACTGGGCAGTGTAAGCCTCCGGAGTTAACAGGCACGACTCAGACCTTACGGCCAGGCCACGAGACACAGATTGCTGATGGCTTTTGCAGAGGATAAACCAGCCTGTCAGCAGTGCAACTCACACACGCGCTTCACTTCACTCTGCTGAATTCATGGGTGAGGGCTACACACGGTGTAAAACCACCGGATCAGCTCCAGAGACATGTTACTATGAGATTCAGTGTTTTAATTGTTGGCCTGACCCTAACTAAAGTTCACATTGACCTAAGTGCAAGAGGAAACTTTAAGGTCTCAGTTCCTTTCAATTAAAGCTATTGGAAAAATTCTGCATGTCCCAAATGGGAAAGGACTGTGCCCTACATCCAGTTGTGGCTGCGAAAAATGAGTGAGGTTTCTGTGGGAAACCTCAAAATCCAAACAGCACTGAAGCAGCAGGTGGACAGAATTTGAATGCAGCTAGTTCTGTGGGTTTGCTCCTGATAAAATCACTATGAATCAGATGCTCCCACCCAAGTTCAGCCTAGCTCTAACCCATGAGCATGGATCTGTGGCCATCCCTGCTCAAAACAACCTGAAATTGGCTCTTTGTTTACTATACATGACCCTGAAAGGGGGTATCTTAAAACATCTAGAGATTCTGAGCTAAAACACTGCATTAGGTGACCTAAATGCAAACCAGAAATGGCTGTGAATTGTATAAAGGCAGCATCTAGTCCCCACCAGACAGCAGAACATAACAGCAGTAAGTGCCTGTGGGGGATTTTCAAAAAGGGGAATGTATACATTGGATTTCACCAGTTGTATTGGCTGTCCTGCTTTTGGCTGGGATGGAGTTAATTTTCTTCCTAGTAGCTGGTGCAGTGCAGTGTTTTGGCTTCAGTCTGAGAACAATGCAATGCTGATAAAACACCAGTGTTTAAGTTGTTGCTCAGTAGCACTTACCCTGATCAAAGACTTTTCAGTCTCATGCTCTGCCAATGAGGAGGGGCACAAGAAGCCAGGAGGAAGCAGAGACAGGACACCTGCCCCAAACTAGCCAAGGGCGTATTCCATACCACAGACATCATACCCAGTATATAAACTGGGGGGAGTCACCCAGAAGGGGCTGATTGCTGCTTGGGTCAGGCTGGGTATCGGTCAGAGGGTGGTGAGCAATTGTATTGTGCATCACTGCTGTTTGTTAGTTTAGGGGTTTTCTTCCTGCTTAGC